ATTATTTGCAAAATTTATAAGTAACATTGCCTCTCTACAGCCTACACGTATGCATGCATACATGTGTGTGCGCGCGCGTGCGTGTGTGTTATGTTATTGGGATTTGTGATGTGGACATTTTTTTATAAGAAATATGAACAACCGTGGATAATTGCAGAACCAAAAGGACAGCGTGCGATATGGACGACAATTAGATAATAAATAAATGTAATATATGCCATATATTTAATAATATATGATTGTCGGCTAATTATAATGTATTACAATTCTACTAGTAACACTAAGACTTGGACAGAATTCCAGTTACGATAAAGAACAATTATTGAATGCTCCATTGTAAGAAACGACTTGTAAATTGTCAAAATTCAAATCCCCCTATGCATACGGTAGTAGGGTTATACAATTTTTCATTTATATTTTATGAATAATTGTGTATATCATCAACTGTACTCGAAGTTTAATTGATACTTTGTACGACACTCAAGTTGATAAAACGATTTTATGACCGAATTTTTTTAACTTCAACATTTATGTGGAACGTAATAACGGATGATTGTAATTAATTGTATTCTCGTGAAACTTTAATTACTCGACACTCGACACTTCTCGATATTCTACTCGTTAAATTATCCAGAATATATCGTTAAATTAATCAGAGATAAAAATAAATTATTCCTTAAAAAATTCGTGATCTCCCGGATGTAAATCACTACCTACGTACACGAGACTCTATCCACGTGCATTAACAAATCCTATCACAAAAGTACTTTGATCGCCTTCAAACGGAAAAATCCGAGCGTGAACGAGACGAAATCCGGCAAATCATCGACTTCCTCTCGTATCCTCTTCTAGCAAATTTATCGGCGCGAACGGAGGCGAAAGCGCCGCTTAAAGTCTCGCGACACAACACATCCGCACTTCCAGCGAATTATTACCGCTTCGCTTATCACGCACGCGCCTCTCCAAAAGCCGCACGTGCTCCGGAGTACTTGGCTTGGGCATTCGCTCCTCGGACCCTCGACTTGTTCCCCAATATTCTTTGTACGTCATTCGATGAGTCGCCTTTCATTGACTGCCCTGCGATTTATTGAGCCAAAGGTGCCTTCATTTTATTCTGCTCCTGATTAAAAGATTAAAATGGAGACGAGCAAAGTGCCACATTACTTTTTATTATTTCTATTATTCGCATCCTGTATGAGATGACATATTTTTCAGTATTTTTTTTTTTTTTTTTTTTTTTTTTTTTTTTTTTTGCTAACCTTGCTCGCCTTTGCCAAGTCACTAAAAATGACATTTTTCAAATTATTACAGATTAACAATGAGTTTTATTGGTGACCTCTTGTGCGCCGAAATCGAATATACAGATCGTAATACAAAAGTCGCTATTTCGTTTGACTTTTTTTCATATATAAATAATGCTTATAATAGCATTAATCGAAATGTGTTTTTTTTTCTTTTTTATTTTTGAATAAGATAAAATTCGGATGCTGGAGTAACGGGAAATGGGGAAGGGGGAGAGTGGGAGAGAGGAGGAAGCATTATAAATAACGAACATGATTTCATATTTATATTTATTACGTACAAAGTAGCTTTCTAAGTACTCTAGAAAGAAAAAGTACTTTTATTTATATAAGTTTTTTTTTTTTTTTTTTTTTTTTTTTTTTTTTTTTTTTTTTTTTTTGCTAACCTTGCTCGCCTTTGCCAAGTCACTAAAAATGACATTTTTCAAATTATTACAGATTAACAATGAGTTTTATTGGTGACCTCTTGTGCGCCGAAATCGAATATACAGATCGTAATACAAAAGTCGCTATTTCGTTTGACTTTTTTTCATATATAAATAATGCTTATAATAGCATTAATCGAAATGTGTTTTTTTTTCTTTTTTATTTTTGAATAAGATAAAATTCGGATGCTGGAGTAACGGGAAATGGGGAAGGGGGAGAGTGGGAGAGAGGAGGAAGCATTATAAATAACGAACATGATTTCATATTTATATTTATTACGTACAAAGTAGCTTTCTAAGTACTCTAGAAAGAAAAAGTACTTTTATTTATATAAGTTTTTTTTTTTTTTTTTTTTTTTTTTTTTTTTTTATTAATTCAGGAAATTCATTGAAAAGAAGCATTTTAAAACATTATATCTAAAAACGAGATATCTGTTTCTACGGATATATACATAAACTCAATTATAAAAAAGCATTAACGAAGAGAAATATTTGTTTATTTATTTGAAATTATTTAGCAATATTGTAAAAACACTGCTAAAGTTAAAGACGACTGACCAAAATGTCTTTACCTAGTTAGTGATATCTATATATATATATATATATATATATATATATATATATGTTTGTATGAAAAATGTAATTTTCCTTATTTTTCTCTTTAAAAACTGTTTTTCGAGAAACTCTGTTAGACGTTATTAATATAACCATTTATCACTTGGCGCTTTCCTTATCACCAATTTGAATAAACGTTCTATCAAGCTTTCAAAATTAAATTTTTCTCTTACTTTTTAATAGTTATATAGCCCGTAAAATGACTAAGAATGAAATGATAAGTTTAATAGAATTACCTTTCTGCATTCATAAGGAAATCTATCAAAGCATTTTATATATAGAGTATCTGCAATATTAAAGAATAGTAAAGACGGTTTATCACTATTGAATTATGAAATGAAATTGAGTTATATATTGAATTTATTTCTGAAAATTAAGTGCTTTTGTGTGTGTGTGTGTGTGTGTGTGTGTGTGTGTGTGTGTGTGTGTGTGTGTGTGTGGTTAAGAAGTGAAAACATTACGCAAAGTTATTAAAGTTGCAGATAATTGCAACTTACTATCTTCATACACAATATTCATAAATGTTTATCATTACATTCAAATGGCTTTATTATACATGGTAAAGTAAGAAATATTCCGCGTGAATATATTTATAGCCGAGCAGGTACATTCAACGAAAAGACTTTGACCGCAAGATTAGAACATTAAATTAAATGATGATTAAGAGCACGCATTAAGCAAACAAATAGATTAACTATAATTCGGTCACCTGTATTCAGTCTCTTTTAAAGGTTCTTTCTCGACTTGAGGCAGAGTTTTATACAAGACGCGTTTCCTCTCCTCGAGATCTTGCGCCAATCCCTGCAACAGCTCCTTGAACACGTAATTCTCAACGTTTTTTGCGATGTAGTAGAGGAAGAGCCAATCACCGAAGTAATACTCGTTGGTGACCTTCAACATGTCCCACGGATTGTACTTGCCTGGGCATGCCATCATGAACACCAGCTTGTTGAAGTTTGTACTTCTGGAACGAGTGTCGACATTTTATTTTCTTCCATAAGAACAATTCTGGGATTCTCTTTGGATTATCGTGATTTCGAGTTTTTTTTTTAATTCAAATATAATAGTCGTATACGTAGACAATGTAATCTGTCCGTAAAGGCGTGACACGTACATTTACCAAGCATTACTGAGATTTTAGCAGCAGCATTTTTGTTGTTTTGACATTTTAAATTGGCGCCCGATTTCCAAGGAATAAGCTCATTAAATATTTCCCACCCTCGATAATACCTATAACGCGTACTTCCAACGAAATTTTTCAACACAATACAACATTTTTGTAAGTATAGCATTAAAATTCTTCACCAACACTCTCATTCTCAGCTAGTCTATTTGCCTGGTTTTTTCTTTATTATTATTATTATTATTATTACTACTACTATTACTACTATTATAATTATCATTATTATTATCATTATTATTATCATTATTATTATTATTATTATTATTATTATTATCATTATTTTTATAGGCAGTAAGACATTTGTTTTTTGTTTAAAAGTACCTTTCGGCAACGTGGCGGATGTAATTTGAAAAATACCATTGTTTTTTTTAATAATTTCTCTATTAATCTGATTTTTTTTTTTTTTTTTTTTTTTTTTTTTTTTATATATAGCCAGAAAATATGTACGTAATAATAATGCCGTGAATATTATTTAGCAATGGACGGTGAAATAATTGCTCGTATCTTTTTATGACCAATAGAGAATATAGGTCGCTGTGTGTATCGATATAATTGTACCTGGGCAGGAAGCTCAACTACGAAAATATACAAAAGATAATTTTGAATATGAAAATAATTATGAGAACTTGTATAATAAGGCATTATTGATAGAAAAAGATGTTTATGGACGTTCGTAGAAATTATCTAGGTATAATTGACACGATGAATGTCAGTCCAAATAAACTTTAATTTACTTTTGTAAGGCATAATTGCCTGGTTGAACTCCTACTTTCTGAAATACTAAATATTCACTTGGTGCAAAAGTAACAAAACCACTCGGGTATTTTTTACATTATCGTAATTTCGCTAAAATTTAATTTTCATTCGATTATCATTAACACTAGATGGATTTGTCAAAGCTGTCCAAGTACATTATTCAAAATTAGATAACTTTTCTCGTGATCTATTGATTTTAGTCGGAATAATTATGATTCATAAGCATTGTCATTGAACAAATAAGCCTGTACCGGAAAGAAGTAATTATGTCGTGTGTTAGTTTGGATTTTCGCGTCTTATTTGTATTCGTATCAGTCAATTTTACATAAAAATTTAATGTGGCGCATAAACCAGACGAGCAATAGACCATTTTAATTATTTCTTATACTCATTACTCGTTTCTTACACCGCGTCATTATTTTATAAATTAATAATGCTTGTAAGATATTTGAATAACACCCCATTACTACAACGCGCAAATACTATATGAATGTCATCTGGTAGCACACCGGTACTAGCCTATCGTCTAATGTAATTATATAAATTATTATTGATTAACTGCAATATCAAATTGACTTAATGCCAAATTTTCCTCGATGCACACATGTGCGAAGAAATATGAAGAAATATGAAGTCACCTGGAATGCAGTGTCATAGTGAGTATGCGCCAGATAAGCGCAAGGCCAGAAAGAATCGTGAGTATGATGAACCAGAACCAGAGGAACGTGTAAATCTTCTCGTTGATAATGTTGAGTGCCATGACGCAGAGGGCGTCGTGCTTTTGTATCCCTCCCGATGGCCCGTACTTATGAAAGGTGCACTTGGTAACCTGTAAATATTCGTTCGAGTAGCTATTCAACCTTGAGCCAGCTTAATTGCCAATTGTCTCTGAAGCATTGCGTAATAAGTAGATATAGATAGGATGTAATTACGATGCTATGACGGACATTGGTTTCGATTTAAATGACCCAATGGTCATTGGGAGGTTGCGATTGTGGCGATGAGTTGATAATTGACGTTGATAATCAGTTTGTAATTTATAGACTTTTTGTCAACAACCTACATCAATCGCCCTAAAAGATTCTTAAATACCAATACATTTTTTTGTTTCTGATTTCTTTAAATTGTGCAAAGAAAAAATTCAGCTTTTTCGAAAATTTCACAAAAAATTAATTACTTCGACTAGAATGCATTGTTCATTTGACTTATTATCAATATAAACTCATCAAAACGTGATTTTTACTATGTTACATGTAAATTAATTATAATAATAATACTTTTAAATGCTACATATAATATTAGTTGTTAATACAGGTGATAATTATATAATACAAGTATTAAAAATGAAAACAAAGATAATATTCATAAGAATCAAATTAATTAATTAATTGGCTTAATTATATATATATATATATAGAGAGAGAGAGAGAGAGAGAGAGAGAGAGAGAGAGAGAGAGAGAGAGAAAACGTCTGAAAAAGTTTGCTCATTGACTTCGGATAATTATTAGATATCAAGAAATTCTCTGTCAGAGAAATTTTGATAATTTGAATACGTAAATTTATTTCTTGCTTTAAAAATTAAAAGCCATTAGAAATATTACGTTAAGACTGAAAATTTGTTGTAGCTTGCAATTATTTATTTCATAAATTAGTGAATTTGATATGTCTCCTGATATTAAAAATTACCTTAAAATGTTAGACAATAGTATATCATTATTAACATTATTAAATCCTTCGTGCATAAATCTAGTCGATTACTCGTAAAATTGCTAAATACTTCGCCCAGACTTATGCGTAAAACTATAAAAGTTCTACGAAATACTCACTTTAGGAAAAACTTCATCGAGGATGTCCATTTGTGCATTAAAGTCCGTCCCGGCAACATTGTGACCGAGATACAGGAAAGCACCACCCAAAAACTTATTTGTTATGTACATTTGAGTGAGCACATTCAAGAAATTCATGACTTCGCAAAAACTGAGGTAATAAGCCCAAGGTCGATTGAGATGCAGACGATTCAGAAAGGCCGTGCGTATCTGATAAATTTTCTCATCCTTATCGAATTTCGAAGGTATCGTGATGCCGTTATCAGTTACAATTTTTTCATCGCGTAAGGAAATTGATGCCATGTGCAGTCCTGAGACCAACGTCTTCAATCGACCACCTGATCGTGTAGAAATTTTAATAAAACATGCAGCTATGCACAATTAATTGCACAGTTTCATTTGTCATAGACAAAGTTGATAAAGAAAAATAGAAAAATGAAAAAACGAAAACAAAACTGATTACACTTAACTGTTTTCTACTAATGACATATAATAGATAAAAAGAAAAATTCAAAATATTTACCATATTGAATATAATTTAAAATGCTGGTGAAAAATTATAATTTCTTAGAAATTTACACATTTAAATATATAATGCATATTGTTTTTAAAATGGCAAATTACAGCTTGCTCGTATAAATTATAAATAAACATATTTTTATATATGTATTTATTTATTATTATTTTTTTTTTTTTTAATAATGTAAATTAAAGTTGAATTTAATTGTGTAACGTAAGCATTTTCTTAATAAAATAATAAAAAAAATGTTCAAAGTCAAATTGATCATATAATTGAAATTGTACATAATAGTTATGAACGCATCTAATAAAAAATTAAACGTCAATTCAACAATAACATTGCGTTAAATTATAAAAAATTCTAAATATAAACTTAATTAAATATAAATTTACTTGAGTGATTGAAACTTAATTCTTGCGGCCTTAGACTTTTGATATGCGTTTATGAATTCATTGAAAAATACAATGGTAACAATAACTTTTGTCATATTTTAATAATTAGTAATTAAATAGAAATGTATATCGATTGTATATGTATTACTTGCCCTTATTCATAAAATTTCCCATGAATATTATAGCGAAATATTCATAAGATTGAGAATAATTTTCTACTTAACTGAAATAAGATATTATTTGTCCGATTTTATTAATAAATATTTCGTATTTATACATTGTATTGTTAATATTTCTAAAGGAGAGAACTTTGAAAGTACTGTTAATATAAGGCTTATTGAAAAATATCAGTTGTAATTAATATTGTGATAATAGATAATATATATAAATAATATTGATAAATATAATTAAATAGTACAAATAAAAATGTAATCCTATTATATGTTTGAGATCAGTCAATTAAAGAGAAAAATAGAGTTTAATAGAACAGGACGATGTGTCATTTAATACAAACATCTATAATCTTCTTTCTTAATTCCCAATTGTAGTATATTACCTATATATGTATATATATATATATATATATCTCACGAAGAAAATAAAAATAAGCATTAGATCAATAATATTGATGCTTGAAAAATATCTTAATAAATGAAACTTTTAGGCATAATTTGGCTAGTTGATAAGCATGGATAAGGCTTTAGCAAAATGATGCATACGGCGATTTATCGGCTTAAAAGTTCAAACTTTAACCGGCCGATATAAGCAAAGAATGTAAGAAACCGACAAACGATTCGTTCGACAGCGTATATCTTCGCAACTACACGATACTTTGTACTCGTATTGGAGTGACACCTCGCCGCGAAGTGCGAAGGAGGTGAGGAGATCCCTCGTAAAATGCTCGGCAGGTAAAGGAAAAGCAACTAACCCTCGGCGGTGCGCCATAGGTAGTGCGGCAAATAGAAGAGCAGCGCCTGGAAGAAGAGGACGAACGGCACCCACTGGTAATAAGCGTGCCTGACGATCTCGTCGCGTTGGGCCGCGGGTCCGACACCCGGGTGGGGTATCTCACCCTCGGCCAGAGCCGTCGCATTCATGTGCTTCACCTATTGGGATAAGCGCATAATTTAGCATCTTGGCGATAATGTTGGGGAAGAGGCAGTATTAGACTTACCACGGTAAAGGTCGAGGTGAAGAAGCAGAAGGAGTCGATGACGCTCGACGGTATGCCGGTATCCGCAATGCATCTACAATGGTGAGAGAGAAAAGAAAGATTGTAGTGGTATTTGGTTTGCAAATGCGCCGCGCGCACCTTCGGCTATCCGAATTGTCCTGCATTCCACGGTTACGACCATCCGATGCATTATGGAAGACTCCCCTCCCAGCCCCCAGCCCCCCACCCTATCGCCCATCCCACCGTCCTGTTCTTCCATTTACATTCTTTCTTTCTTTCTTTTCCTTTAATCGCGCAGGTGCGTGCGGCAAAGAATGCCGATACCGGATCCCGAGGTCTCACCTTATGTGCCAACCGATGAACTGTCGCGAGGATACGAGGATCGTCGATGCCAGGAGAATCAGAAACGTCGCTCTGTAATGGAGCTTGAAAACTGTATAGGAAAGTAAAATGTATGCGTTATTGCTATACGCTTAATGGAGATCAATGACTCGCGAGCTTCTCTCTTAAAGCGTATGAGCGACGTAATAAAAAATGTTGTCGATGATATGGAAAAAAAAAGAGTGTTTGCCAATGGCTATCACGCGCTTTCGTTTACTCTTACGCGACTCGACCCGTTTCTCAGGTATAAATCTAAATATTTTTAATATAACGCACCAATGAATTACGAAATACGAGCCAATGATAAGATACTGGATTCGATAAGGTTTTTTCAAATTTTCATTTAATGACAAATTGAGCTTATGAATGCGTAGCACATCAACATTTACAGCAAATTAAGCACATCTGAAAATAATATCTTTTTCAAATATCGTCGTTTAATTTCATTTTGTTTGCTGAATTTAATTTGATGTGGTAATTATCGTTCAAATACCGACCAGAAATACGGTATTTTGATTTCATTTGTTTGGCATTATAAGAATATTCATGAAATATCTATGTTTGCCGAAGAAAATCAACGGTAGACTAATTAATGTCTTATTTGAAAATAACTTGACAAATAAATGTATGCCTAATCAATTGAAGGTTGAATAAAATTCTTTGCTGATAAAATTTTAAACTAACTGTACAGTTGTATCGTGATTAAGAAAACATAGTTAGTTATCAAGATAATGATGGCTCGAATCAAGTCGTAGACTCATTTGAAAAAAAATGTTATGAAAGAAAAAAGGCAAACAAAAAAAGAAAAAAAGAAAAGAAAATAAAATAAAAATCATAAAAATTATTTTAACGTTGCTCGATATTTCCTTAATATTAAGCATAAAAATAATCGTTGACATTTCACAAAAGTGAAGCATTGCAATCGATAAATCACTGATTATACCTCATTTTCCCGTAAGCTAACGCGCAGAAATAAGATTTTCGAGGAATAAAGCAAACTATATTCCATAGCACAAGCGATGCGCGAACATTCTGACGAAGTAATAAGAGTCAGGTATCAGCGACCTATATTTACAAATTCTCGACTGAAGGCTCTCGACTGAATTACCAGCCCTAATAACCCGATCCGCAAGCTCCCTCGCGCTCAAAATTAGCAAACACGACATTGAGTCGCCGGAGCAGAGAAAGTAAAGTAATGGAAAAGCGCGCTGACAGACTGTCCGTGTCGATTATTACTCACTGATATTGTCGATGGCCGGCGAGTCGCGCGATACCTTAAAGTTCACGTGGTTCTTGAGGACAGAGAAGGTCGCCAGTACCGACATGGTGGTGGAGTCCGGCCGCGGTTACGAGCTCCCCGGGCGAACGCGGACCCGGGCTTAGGCACAGGTGGGCGGGCGCGCGAGGCTGCCGACGAAGCCGCGTTCGAGACGTCCCGGAAAATTCTGGCGTGCGCTTATCGTCGAGGGGCCCGCGGAGCCACGATATAGCGCAAACGGCGGGCGCGCTTCCCTTGAGAGAACGTGAAGCTCTATAGACCGTCTTCGACGCTCGATGATAAGCAGATTGATAAGCTGCTGGGCCAACGCGGCACTCTGCGCTCGAGAAAGTGCGCGTGGGAGGCGGGCGGGGGCAGCTATTGTGATAGCCTTTTCGCAGAATATAAGAAGGCGCGAGATATTTTCCGCGAGAGTCGCGATTGGGAGAGCTCTTCGGTCGCGGGATCTGGTAACGATTTGCCCGGGCGAACAGCCGACGGAATGTTTTACGAAGATTTCATTATCGCGCAGATGGCGTAACTTATAGCCACTGTCGCTCGGCTTATTAACATTCGAGAAACAACGTTTTAGAGCTCGCTCGGGAGGTCTCTTTTATGGTAACTTATGATAAAAATTGTAGTGTGATAATATTCAGGCTAGGCAACTGACTGCTATGCGACAGAAAAGAAAGTAGACGTTGTGCTCTTGCTTGACTTTGAAATAAAAATAGCCGCCTCTGACAATGATAAGTCCATGAATCAATGACCCTTCGATGCTTCGCTTCAAACTATACTTATCGCGCGTAAAATTTCAATTTTTCATCATATAAAAAGATTAGGAAGATTTTTACTTATTATTATTATTATTATTATTATTTTTTTTTTTTTTTTTTATTTTTTTTTTTATTTCAGACGTATGGGCAATGGTTGCTTCCGCTTCACATACAGTGGCAAAATAATTAACTCAAGCCAAGAAAAATGAAATTTTTCTCACAATTACTATTAGTTGCATTGAGATTAATATATTAACGCCTTAATAACTCAGTATTAAAATACTTTTTCTCGTTAATTGTCGTGATAATAATACTAACAAAGATTTTCTACCGCAATGTCATGTATTTTAAAATTGCAAAAATAATAAATTTAAGAGTGAATGGCATAAGCAATGCAAAATAATAATATTTAAAACTAAAACAATCTTTCAAAAGCTTTTCCGAAGATGTACATTACAATCGGAATTTTCAGTCTCGGATACTATCGAATAAAAATAATTTATAATCTAATGTAATATGTTTGTTTCCATACACGATACTATTTACCATTAATTCATTATATTGACGATAAAAATTTTAATAATTACGTTTACCAGATATGCAAGCTATTCGATTGAAAAGACAATTCATTAATTGCGAAAATTCATTTTAGAAATTACATAATTTCTACATATATTCGTTTTGCATATTAATTGCATACATTAAAATACTCATTTTCGTAAGTTTCTGTATTTTTATGAATAGCTTAATAACTGTAAATAAAAAAGAAAAAAAGAAGAAAAAAAACAAAACAAAAAATTCATATATTGAAATAAAATGATTTATCCAATATATTTAGATTATAAATATCGTCGAGTCGATAAAATTTTACGAATCATAACACTTATAGATTGGAATATAGAAATAACAATATAAAGAAACATACTTTTTATGAAATTTTTTTTAAAAAAAATCTAATCTGATAAAGTAAAGTAACGCTTCAAGAATTAAAATAAGTTATAACTTTCATAAAATCGTGGATAATCCGTTTAATATTTCGAAAGTGATAATATATTTTACAAGCCTTTTATGATTTTACGCATAAACTGTGGCGGCGTCGATAAAATATGAATGTCATTCGGAAATTCAGAAAGTAACGATATCACAATCATCAATCCCACTATTACGAGATCTTTATGACTCAACTCACACTTAATGCCACGTATAAACTTTATAATAACACTTTCAATGACGATACATGATAATGCTCTAGTATGTGACAATGTGTGTGATGCCAAATCTTTCATAAAATTAAGCGATACAGATTATGATTACCGGGTCGACTATTCTTATCCCACATTTATTACCGTCGTCTTTTGATATTATGAAAATGATAAGAAAATTCTCTGTTCCTACATTTAATGTTTTATGATTTAAGAATAATAATACATTTGAGGCATAAATTGTATTGTTGTATTATGATACCATGAATTGAAATTGCCCAATTTATTTGTCCACGATGTTTCCAAATGCCCCCTTTTCATGGATTCTTAACTGTAATTTTACTTACCCTACATGGGATATTAAAGAGTATAAATATTTTCTTAAATTAAATATTATTATCGACGAGTGTAAACTTTTTGTATTTAAAAAAATATATATCATACACACGTTACGATAACTTTGTAAATTATCTTCTCTAACGTAAATTAATTTATTACACGCAGATAGCAAGAGCTTTTGATACGTTTAAGGTAATTATGACACATCTACATACAATCATTAGTAAATATTTGAGAATAAAGTTATTGTAGCCATCAAATTACAAAACAAATAAATTAATTGATGGTATCATGATTAAATCACGATAAAAACATATTTTAAACAACTCGTGAGACATTTATTAATGAATTGATCACTATATGGCAATGTATATATATATATATATATATATATATATATATATTTACCTTTCTGTCTCTTTTCTTATTATATATTTAATATTCTTATTCTTAATACTGTATTATAAGGAAATTAACACATGTTTCATTACTAATTCTCTTTTTCTTTCAATCAAATGTACTTTCATACATCGTATTATATAGTTATATTTTTTGCAAATAATATTATTCTTACATTGAACACGCGATTACTTATTTGTAAAAGGAGAAGCTAATTATTAGCCATAATGTCGCGTAAGAAAAATTTACGTTATGCAGATAGTAGCTCATAATCATGAAAATATTATGTTACATTAAGCTCACAATTAATTGCTGATTATTAATTAATATTACACTAATCAAATATTTGTTCTAATTTAAACAAACAAAGGCCCATTGTGATACTATCGACACATGCACTTTATAAATCTGTAGTAAATTTTCTTAGTAGAAAAGTCTTTTATTTTATTCATAAACTTATTAATACTGTAATCTTAACGCCCATTCGTTATTATTGGTTTTTTTTTGTTTTTTTTTTTGTTTTTTTTTGTTTTTTAATGATATTTCATATTTAAAAATTTACAGTAGCGATCGTAATAAACGCGATACATGTAAGTTTACAAAACTACGCAATGGTTTTTTACAATTTGTATATATGAACGCGTACGTGCCTGGTGCAATCATCAAGCGAAGAAAAATTAGAAAACGTTTTCATTTGTTGAGAAAAAAAAATAAAAAAAAAAAAGCTTAATTGCATTACGGTTTTATGGAGTTACTTTCGAATTAAGAGGAACAGGCATTAAAAATCTTTTAATCTGACTAGTACAAAATTTTCCACAGCAGTAATTTCCATGTGCTGCAACATCAATGGTTATTTACTCTTACACGCCGTATTATAAATACGAAAATGATATATATATATATATATATATATATATTTTTTTTTCTTTTATCAAATATATAGGATGTATGACAGACACTTAATACTTATTATTGATTATATAAATCTATATATGTAATAAGTAGAATGTATTTAGAATCCTGTGAAGTTCTATGAGTAGTCACGGTAGTCATAGCCTTTGGAAACTCGTCTAATGATTAGTTGGTTAATCGTCGATTATTAGTTACGATAAAACTGAAAAAACCGCGATTAAAATAATACGATTAAATTTAGCATGTGCAGTAGCTTTTACAACTCGATTGTTCGTTGTGTCAAAATAATAAGGACGAAGAAACATTTTGAAGTGACTAACCGCATAATCTAAATGCTTATTCATAGAATTAGAAAACCTATTACGAAATCTCAACAATGAATAGTACTTTATTCTCATTTCTATGACGAGGCGTGTAGCTACTACTACAGTAAATTTAAATAGCGATTACATTAAATTCTTGCGCATTAGCTACATACGAAGCATTCGTATTGAAGAAATTAATTGAAAATAATATATGTATAATTCTCACCATTTAGTTGGCAACAATTATTATTCTATCTCGGACGATCCCTCGATCGTAGCAATTAATGGCAGAATTCTTGCCTATCTAGGAATTAAATTAGATAACCGCCATAACGGGGCCATCGATGCTCATCCAACTCGTGACGCACAACCACAACATATCAAGCGTATAAAAGTAGAATGAAATTTCCAACGGAATCGTATGTTACGCGATTGTACGCTCACTCCTACATAAAAGCGACAATCGAAAATTCAAAGACTTTCCTCGCGCGTTTGATTGCCTCGTCGTTGAATTGAAAAAATAAAAGTCAAATTGAAGAGCTTCGGGTGCTCGCGAGGGCCCGTAATAAGTATTCAGGAGCATCGGTGAGGGCCCATAATAAGTATTCAGCAGCTTGAGCGAGGGATCGCATTCTCGAAGCCTTTTTACACAGGAAACATTCTTAAATGGAAATTCAAATTAGCTCGTATGCGATGTATTGTTGAAACGATTCACTTGTTTATTCAATGACGCAGCCCTAAAGCTAACACTTGGATATTGAAATTATAAATGATAATAAATGATAACAATTTTCTGTTCATTTTTCTAACCAACCACTTCGCTCACTCTTATTTTACAATTTTTTTTTTTTTTTAATCACTTTCGGTAAACGAACGCGAAATGTTTACGTAGGTACAACAAAATTTGCAGCTAAAATACTATTATTTTCTACGCGCGATAACGGTATGAGAGTATTTTTGTAATAATTAAAAGGCGAAAGATTTTAAAGCTCAACAATTTGTGGCATTCATTATCTAATAGAAATAATTTTTTATCTCAGATACTCCGAGGCTCACGTCTGTACTTATAAGTTTACATATTTTTCAATGCTTTTCTCAAATTATTGAAGAACCTGCGAACGTGACTTTTAGACTGGATAACCTTTTGTTTCTTACCAACGATATAAATTTATTACCCATTGTTTTCCTATACTTTACCTCATTGTAGTCTCAAAGATAAAATTTCGAAATACTATTCCTTGCACTTAAGTCTTATTTTACAGTTTTATGCTTAGTGCATGAGATAGGCCACGCGTTAGGTTGTGCGACCGCTTCAAGAACGAATTATTGCCGAGTAACGACAACAGGAGCG